AATTTTTCATCGCCGCACTGCACAAACTTTTCAAAGTTCAACTCCTTACTCCTCCGTCACCTATCGCCGACGTCCAGCCGACCACCGACTAGCCGATCGCTTTCCCACTTCCCACTTTCGCCGCCGACCAGCTGACCGCCGCGACCAGAATCCAGAAGCAACCGACCGGCCAGGAGGCGACCAGCATTCCAGCAGGTAACCTATATTTTGATTATTTTTTGTTTTCAAGAAAAATCGAACTAACTGTAACACCCTAGAAAAATTTTCGAACTAAGACTCGAACCGTTCTTCGTAGTGAGTGAGATTTTACCAAGGAATTAAAAATTTCTTAAGTGTTAAGGTCACTAAATATAGCACCTTGAGTTCCAAAAAGAATAAAATTGGAAATAGCAAAATCTGAAATTTTGCAAGTTAAGCTAAGTATGAGTTTTGGATCGACTTCAAATGACCATAACTTCCATCTCAAGATGATTTAGGTGTGATACCAGATACCGTAGGGAAGACCTTCGAATTATCTTTCCAACGCCACCGAGTTTTCTCAGTTTCGAGTTCGTATGAGGGAGATATGTCCATTCGAAGTTGGGCTATCTAGATAAGGAAAGTCAAACCGGATTTTAAAGGGGTATTTTGGTCTTTTCCTTACCCAATCAGATTTAATTCATTTTTAGTAATAGTTTAGGGGTCTAATCTGATTAGGTTCAGTTTTATAATCCCAGTTTACGCCTAGGGTTTTAATTGAGAGTTCAAGAAGAGAAAAGAAGAAGAGAGAAGAGGAGAAAAGAGGAAAGGATGAAGGCATTCGTCGACGTTCTTGAGTTTAGTTGCGGATTTTCCCCATGGGTTTGATCTCTAAGAGGTATGTAAGCTTCCATAGTGTTGGGTTTGTTCACCCACACGCCAAACATATTATTTTCAGCGAAGGTTCATTCTCAAAAAGTTGAAGGATTTAAGTTCTTGAAAGGTGTTCTTGAAGTTCATTCTAAATCTTGTTTTGTTGGGGTTTTGATGATTTCTTGAGATGAAAGTGATTGTTTTGAGTGGATTAGTGTGTACTTAGGTTGGGTAATTGAATCTAAGGAAAACTTGAGAAAAGAAATCGATTAAAAGTGATTTAAGGTCAGAAAATGAGAGGAAAAGTTCGTCAGTTTTGCCTGGGGAAATGCTGGCGCGACGCTCCCCCATTGTGCCAAGAAGGCTGGGGCGACGTGCCAGCAGTGCGCCAAAAATGAGCCCCAGTAAATTGGGGCCTGGCACGCCACGCCAGGGACGCCCCCGGATAGGCATTTTTCACCAGTTTTTCATCGTTTAGCCTATTTAAGTTATTCTAAAGTGTCCTAACACTTTCCATTAATTCTAACTACTCTAAATGACTTCTAAACATCTAGAAATCATCCATGAACATGAATCATAACCTTGAATCCATAAATCCAAATTCAAGGTAGAGTTAAGAGTTAAGCCTTGAGAATTCTTCCGAACATTTGAGATAGTCCCTTTGAATTTTCTTTGAAGAACCTTCTACAAATTTAAGTAACTTGTTTCAAGACTCGAGCAAGTAAGTATGAGAATGAGAAGAGTTGTATTCACAAGTTCCATATTATTATGTAGACCCTCGAGTCGAGTCGTTCATGCCTATAACTTCTGTATGAACTCCATCAGTTGAGTACCTTTGAGAGGAGTAGTATCTTCAAGTTCTAAGTCTTGAGTATTGAGTTCCTAATCACCTTTGAGATTATATTTCTAATCATGGGACTATTACATGTTACCCATGAAGTCTTTGAGTTGAATTGTTCATGCCCATAATTCTGCATGAACCCTATAAGTCAAGCAGTCTTGAGATGAGAAGTATCTTTGAGTCCTTGAGTTGAGTAGTTCATGCTCATAATTCCGCATGAACCCTCTGAGTTGAGCATTTTTGAAGTGAGTTCTTGAGTTCCAAGTATTTGAGTCTATCTATGGTTATTGAAAACCTTGCATTGAGTCGTTCAACTCCATAATTCGGGGTGAACCATATTTTTAAGAAGTCTTTTACAAATGTTTTAACTTTGTTTTAAGACTTAAGTTTTGAGTTCAGTAAGGAGTAAAGTTGAAGTTCATTTATTCAAAAGTATATGGGGACTATGTATTCCCAAAAGAGTTTAAAATGTTTTCACATTTAAATAAGAACGGAAAACTGAGATTTTCAGTAAAGAGCCTTTGGGCTAGTTTTTAGTTAAAGAGTAAATGCTTTCACAATAAAGCAAGAGAGGAAACCTTGATTTCCAAGATAGCATTTGAGCTAAGTTTTTGAGCAATTATCTCAAATCACAGAAAGAGTTTTGTTTTTACAAACATATGAGCTAAGTATATTTTGGGAGTAGTATTGAGCACCGATATGGGAATGCGAGTTCAGATAACTCAAGTCTCCATAAACCATGTAGCCATCATGGGCAGAAAAAGGATCATACTTTTTAGATGATTCCTTAGTGCTTTTTAGCATAGACTAGTAGATCTACTTAGTAGTTTAGGTTCTATACGGATGGCAAGGTATAGGACGGTCCGTGGCAACATGAGGTAAAACGTTGTACCATCACTTACGCTCATATTGATGGTTGTCGGTTAGAGAATCTCCCACAGAAGTTATTGTATTCTTATATACACAGTTAATTGTATTTTTACATACATTTCAGAGTTATGTTGTATCCTTGCATACACACAGAGTTGACAACATGTTTTTAAACGGTTTGTTTCTTTGTATTGCACTTGTTTTAAATTGCTTTATATTGAAATAAGTTCAGTCATATTGAGTTGAGTATCCAGAGTTGAGTACCCAGAGTTGAGTACCCAGAGTCGAATATCATATCTTTGAGTTGAGTATCTAATCTCTGAGTTGAGTATCTTATCTTTGAATACTTCTAAGTTGAGTAAGTTGAGTAGTTTTGAGTATCCTTGAGTATTCCTTAAGTTGAGTAAGTTTGAGAAGAGGTAAGTATGTTTCCTTTTTATCAAAGTTCAGCCTTATGTTTATGCTTTAGAATTCCTCTTACATGTTCGTACATTCCACATATTGAGCCATTTGGCCTGCATCTTCTCATGATGCAGACACATGTATTCAGGATCATCAACAGGAGCTTCGTTGATACATCCGAGAGTTCGAGTTAGCTATGGTGAGTCTTCTTGCTTCCGTAGAATTTCATTTACCTTTCAGTTATATCAGTTGTTAGGATGTTGTGGGTCTTGTCCCGACTTCCATCTTTATTAGTTAGAGGCTTCATAGATAGTCAGTATAGTTGAGAAGTCTATATTATTCATTTATTTTATTAAATGTTTTAAAGACTTAAGTTGCCTATTTTATGGCGAGTTGAATATTATTTTTATATTCAGAATTTTTCATTTGAGTTAAAGTTTTGTATTTCAGTTTCATGAATTTTTATTCAGTTTTTAAGCTTTTGCATGCTTAAGTTAGTCTTCCGCTTGTAGTCAACCAGGATGAGGGTTCGCTTGGGGACCAACAATGGTTCTTGAGTGCTGGCCACGTTCAGGGTATAGACTCGGGTCGTGACACTAACAAAAACCAAACCCAAATAACATAAACCCAACCAAAATAATAAAAACTGAATCAAACTGAATTATTTCGGTTCGGTGTTCGATAAACTTATTACAAGAACTGAAAATCAAAAAAATCAAAACCGAATCGAATAACCGAATGCCCAACCCTAATTATTATTGTATTCTGCAAAAAGATTTTAACAACATATTAGTACTAATTTGTTCATTCTTTTAGGGCATGCATGTTTTGTTTTAGTATGCCAAATATTCAAATCTATAATACAAAAAAATGTGATTATAGCAAAATAATTATGATTATTAAAAATACAAATTGTGGCCAATACAATAAAATCATCAAATAAATAAATAGAACTATAATACTCGGTGCCGTGAATAATGTCAAGAAAAATCTTGCGAAAATTCACACTAAAATTTAATTTAAGAAAAGAAACAATTGAAGTGGTCATTATTCACAATTCAATCATTGTTTCAATAATTTAATAACCATTAATTGGTATTGTTCAGACTTTTAATTCATAATCTCATTGTAACTACTCACTCTAAATGAGTTTTTCCTTCCTTACATATTAGACTGCAAATTACTAAAAATAGTTTTCACATATTACTTGATCATTTACTTTTATTAAAAAATATATTAAATAAGTACTACTTAATTAAGTGTAGCATATATTTACTATCCATAGGGCATAAGTTCAAAATATAAAAACGTAAATTATGGATGTAAAAACGTACGCCTTTTATTAAAATCTTTTTTACTTTAAATCATTTTTTTTATTGGTATAAAGATATTTCTCAAATAGTAATTGTAATACTTTTTTACCTTCATTATTGATTATTAATACCTTGCTCAAATAAAAATCATAATAATTTTTTCGATATATTATAGGTTATTTATCAAATTTATTTGTAAAATAATTGAAAGTTTTACTTTAGCTTATTTTCTTAGTAATAAAATCATAAAATTGAATATACATGAAACTACACCTCGTAGATCTATAAGACTTACGCAATGTGTCTCGGGACTTAAGTCTCACTCTGTACTACATAAAACGTCTCATCTCACACCTCCGCTTTTTAAAACACGGATCTAAACTAATGAGTAATATATCATTTAGGTGTGTTTCTCACACTAACAATAATTTAGATATAAAACTCAAAAAAGTATAATTTAAATATATTTTTGACATTTAACTCTAAATTAAAATGAGCAAATTGCCGTTTATAATAATAATAATAATAATAATAATAAATAACTGATAATTGAGATTTTTGAATTTTGATTTTAAATCTAATTTTATCATAAAATGATATAGGGATCCATAGACCAAAATATTGGGCCGTAACCGGTGCCGACCCGCCCCATTGATAGGCCCTTACACCATGTAAACTGGTGGCACAAACAGCAAACCCATGGATTCATTGAAGTGAAGAAATCAAGAAAACGGAGAAGCAGTAGAATCAGTATTACTTGGGCGACTAGGTAAAATTAATCTAACTATGATGATTGATGAATCAGTTGAATATGAATAATAAGGATTTACGCAATGTATCCTAACTAATTTGAGATTAAGTATAGTTGATTGATTGAGTTTACAGAGGAGGGCAAATCAATTGGATCAGCAATTTTAATTTTTGGTGCTTTTTATTTCGAGTTGATTTACATATGGTACTAGTTTCAAGTCTACTATTAACTTTCCCCGATTGTTGCTAGGTTTTTGAAAATTCTCTTTTGATTTGCAGGAATTGAAGCAGTGTTACAAGGGTAAAATGAAATTCTGGGATTGGTATCTGAAAATTGCTGTTGTTTCGGCCATGATTGGAGGTTCCATGGAGTTTTTCATGATAAAGACTGGATTTTGTATGAAAACTATCCTTTTTTCTCTCTCGTCTTTACTTTTCTACTTCTTTCTGTTCTCATGTATGCCTTAACCCATTATTGATTTCTGAAAAAAATAAAAGGAAAATTGAATATTTATTGCATGGGGCGATTCTTCCCATCTGTTCCATTGCCTATACCTGTTGTTGTTGTTGTTGGTTGTTGGTGGGAGGTGATAGGTATCCCATGTAATTAGTCGAGCTGCACGAAAGTTGGTCCAGACACTATGGTCATAAAAATAAAATGAATGAAAAATGAGAGATTTGCAATGCCAATCATTTTGGAAGTATTTAGTTTTTATTTTTATTTTATCATAATGTATTCTAGAGGACTTGTGGAATGAAATGGACATGAATTCAGTTGAATGGATACAGATGATTCATAAAGCCGATCTGTACTGTGATTGTGGTCTAGTAATTGATCGCAATCATCCCCTACGTTTTAGAGTTCACTGTGATTGGACTTCGGATCTGACTTATACTAAAAGCCTAATTTTGCTCATACATTCTCCCCTTCTTTGTGTCTGTGCTAATGATAATGGTTTAATCTTACAATATCACCATTTTAGAGGTTTGTTCAAGTGTCACCACTTTTTTTCCTCTGAAGAAAAAGTATGCTGCTTATCTTAATAGCGATTTGTATCAGATGATAAGGTGACTGTTCTAGAAGCGGAAAAGAGAGCGTGGGAGAATTCTCCTGAAGCCAAGGCTGTAAGAGACGCTCTTAATCCATGGAGACATCAGGATGCAGAAGCAAGCAAGGATTCTTAACTCTGTCACTTCTGTTAGAGAATTATAAGGTAATTACTAGCTGCTTAACTCTGCTGAGAACTTAACAAGTAAATTAACTCCTTTCTAATATCTAATACTTAATTTTAAGCCAAGTCCTCATTGCAAAACAATGATATCCATCCAACCATAGAATGTAAAACAGGAAAATTTCCTGGTAAAAGTCCTAAAACCGGAATGCAGTCTGACCTGATTTAAACAAGAAGATGTTGCAATTTAGTCAAATGAACTAGTTCTTTCACCGCCCTATTCAATTGGTTCACAACCAAAACAACAGGATTTTTGGATATGTATGTCTTTAATTGGTTTTTGCTTCCCTTCAATAAATATTTGATAATTTCCTAAACAGTAACCACAAGTGGTATGTTAGAGTTGCTGTAATCAAAAGGTCAAGCAACTATTTAGCAGTTAGCGATGAAACTTATCTATCGGCAATGAAGAGAAGGAAGAGATGTTCTATAAACTTCATAGGACACATTTGACCTGTGTGAAGATTATGACACTGAGGGACTATTCTTGATGTTATATTGATGAAATTATGTCTCTTTACAGGCAATTCTCAAATGGCTTTGAAGGAAAATTTTGAGCTTGCTCTTATTGATGTTTCTCATCGATGTTTGTTGAAGAGCGTGTTACAACTTACAACTTACAACTGATTGTTTCACCAGCTTGGTAGCCATTTCACTTAGCATATGATGGACAAGTTCTACGAAGGCAATTGGGCATATTTCAAATTGTAGAACTAGTGGAACCCTACTTGTTGTTTTCCTTGCTCTCTCAAGATTTTAGTTATTTGCTTTCCTGGATCTGCGTGGGTAAGAGAAACAATCAGTTGCACCTCTGAGAAATATAGTGGACTAGATAGCCATTTGACGATATGTATTTGTTCCACTAATGTTTGTTTTTCTCCCCCTTATTGTGTGTGGGAGAGGGTTGATTTATACCTTTGCTCCTCTCATAGTTCCTTAAAACGTTGAACCACAGAACACTATTCTCGCGATCTTCCTCATTTTATGCAGGAACCAAGAATATCGCATGGAATGGCTGCATCATGACCCAAGATTTATTGGGCGTTCACCTCTGATCGCAACCTTAGTAGATGTAGATTAAGGCGATAGAGCTGGAGAACTTAACCTTTCCTTTTGAATACTTTGGATTAATCAAGAGTAATGTACCTCTGTTGTACTCAGTTTTTATGATCTCAGTGAGATAATTAGCTCACTGGTGAATAAGGCTTCTTTGCTTTGCATTCAAAGTCTGGCGTAGCTCCTTGTTGCATGTTGTTTCAGAGGTCTCCAAGTAGTTTAAGTAACTAGTGAAAATGTTCCTTGGGAATTTGAGTTGTGCTGTTCAATTGCCTGAGATAATTCTTTTCAGTCCTCAGAGGTGTTAAGTCCGTATTAATTAATTGAACCAATAGCTCATCTAGAATTATAAACACCAATAAGTTTACGACCCATATTTTCCGAAAAGCATAACTCAAACAAAATTAAGTTCAGATCTTGAATTTATCTTAAATTCATCCGTGTAGAACTGTTGGTTCTTGAATTGGTTAGCTATGTGATGTTATATAAGGGTAGAGAAATGCATGAATATGACCTTTGTTCGTTTCCTCTGACTTGCTAGTATGACGAATCCTAAACTAATAGATTCGTAGAGAAATGCATGAATATGATCATTGCTCGTTTTCTCTGCACTTGCTAACGATATAGTATGATGAATCCTAAACTAATAGATTCCTGTAACCCGCTAAACATGAACAATAAGATGAAGGATTAACTTTACCATCAGTCTATTGGTAGAATAAAACTGACAAGAAGTCCAAAGGTTCCTTTTTGAGATTTAAGGTACAATACATAAGAACCAGCAAATACTCGGTAGATCAGATGAAGGACCCAATAGTCTTCCTAGAATCAACTCAAGAAGCAAAAGTTCTCTTCTCGACAATTATCAGGAGAACTTGATGATGTTCAGTACTGGTACTCATTAAGAAGCCATTGTTCCCTTGCCATTTCATCCAAAACCATAATATCTTACTGAGAACACAGAAGATGGTCAAAATATCACTGGCTTGAGCACAAACTTAGCTGGTTGTTGTTGTCCCATTAGCAGAAGAGGCAGCAATTCCATTGGGATTTGGCTGGTACATTGATTGTGTAGCAGGAAAAGGGGCGCTGCCTAGATTAGATGGAGGGGTTCCACCTGGAACACCTACAAGGGGGTTCAGTGCAGGAGGAGCTGGAAGAGCATTGGGTTGCATCGGCAAGGATGCAACAGGTGGCATCTGCCCTGCAATTGGTGCAGTTGGAGGTACCGCTGAATAACCTAAAAAGGACATCAAGAAGTTAAGATCAGAGTAATCTTGTTTCCACTTGATTGATCATTAACCTGCAGTAAGTGTAACAAACTATCTACAACACTTTGATTGACACCAAGCATTAACTTCCGAAACTGATGAAAATGCCTCAACCTAAACTGTGGGGGTGGGGCGTGCTTCATAACAGTAAGCCCATCATAAAATACCTACAGAAGGATATTATCCCACTCAATGTACAAAATGAAAAAAACAGAGTCTGATAAACATAGATACCAACACGTGGTAGAAAATATTGAGGAATCTCCAAACAAATTGCATGGATTTGTACCTGGAGCACCAAGAACTGGAATTGGCAAAATGGGAGGTCTGGCACCTGCCATTAATTGTGGGGGCATCGCTCCTGGAACAGGCAGCATAGGAGGTGGCATCATAGGTAGGCGAGGTCGTTGACCAGGGAAAGCAGCAAGATGTTGATTATAAGCTGCACCTATTTGTTGGTAGGCTACTGCCTGCCCAAGGCGCTCCTTGATTTTCTGATCTATCAGAATCTGTGTTTGCTCCTCCTCAAGCTTCAAGTAATAAGATCGGACATTAGCCTGAAAACAATTTCTAGCATTAGTAGCATCACAGAGAACATGACATTCACGCTAGGAGACAGGATTGTCAGAAAAGTTGCAAAATATGAACACACCTTGTGTTTGTAACCAGCATTATGCTGTTTTCTGACAGAAGGCTGAGAATTTAAAAAAAACGTTAAAGAAAATCAGATCTCCAAGTAGAGTTACCTTTCTCAATAAATAAATAAAATCAGACCTCAAGCAACAAGAAGCAGAGGATAATCTAAAACCGTTTCAGATCATTCACACAATAGAATGCACAACTACCAGGAGTTTTGTTTGAACAGGTAGAACTCCCAGGAGTTGCAGAAAAAGATACACTTCGTGCAGCAAAATTACAAGTACCACTATAACGTATGAAGAATATTTGCATCAAGACGTTCTTGTTTACTGATCAAAAAGAGAAAAAAAAATTAGTATCAAGACTTGTTCAGCTGATCTCTAGTCACCAATAAAATTTAAAAAATGAAAGCAGTAACAGGGATGTTTTACATTTCCCAGTTTGGAAGATACACCATACTATCAAGTGATTGATGTGCTGGGTTTTGATAAATAAGAACATCATTCGGAAAAAGCGCAGATTTTCACTGTGCAACAAATTATTGCTTAAGACTTAAGATGCTGAATGACTTCAACATTGAATCTATTCTATAAGATTAGCTTTCACACACGTGTTGATTCTTTGCACCAACAACTGCTTCAAAATTCTGGCTGCAACCACACTAGTTTCACCCCTACAGTCAACGCATTAAGCCAGGATACAGTACATATCAAATGAGTCTTTCTTATAGTTTATTTTTTGCACCAAGGAAAAAGTCATAATATGTTGAGAGTGAACTTTGAACACACACCTTTGATATCAAATGAGTTCTTTTACAACTTCTCTTTTGTTATTACAACACCTCCTACACATCAATTGCTTTAGGATGTATGAATTCTCAAGTTCTACAAAATTACTTTTTAGGAAAAAAGAATGTGCTTTGTTCCTAATTTAGTAGTGGTTGTCTTCTTTCCTGAACAACAGATAAATTTAATAGTGGACACTGGACACCTTCTTTGTAAATTCCCCAAAAGATTTTTAGATAAACCAGCTATCAATCTTCTAATTTTTTTTTGGGAGAAATGAATTGAGCTTAGCTATCAAACTTGTACTTCGTCTTTTCTTCTTATATGAAATATGAATTGCCTCAGAATCATTGCAGTCGACATCATTGATTCTCTTGTATGACAATTAAATTACCCCTACCTATGTGATTCTGTATATATTCATGCTTGTGGCTTACAGCCTTCAAACTATCTGATTAAAGGTCAATGTTACTTTCCAACTGACTCAGAAAATTTGTATATTCTTTTATTCCATTCAAAATGCTATAAAGTACTAAAATAACTACTGGCTCATGCTGTGATTCGAATCCTCGGCTTTATCATCACAAATTAGCGCATCAGTTCTGACTAAAATCCAGTGCCAGAATCACAGGGATCAAACTTCCACTATCATCCCAATCCATGTCTTGTCTGCAGTCAATGGTTTGACTCAAACCCTTATCTTGATTGATTCAATAGTAAATTGCCATTTTGACATCCAAATCTGTTATGTGTTCTACTATACATCATCTTCTAAAGAAGAAAGAGCAAAAACTTATTTACTACAATTTGACGTGACAAAAGCTTCCAAAGAAACTTGGTTGATAAATCCTTTGGCAAGTCATCATTGAGGTGCATAGAAATAGAAATGGAATGGCTATAAAAAGATTTAAGAGCTTTGTTTTTTTTTCTTTCAAAAAGATAGTTATCAAGATGTAAGAGCTTTATACTCTTTCATGCTATACTGTCACATTAGTTCAGCCTAGCTGGTGTAAGATGCCCACTAAAGAAGCAACTAATTATAAACTAAATAGACAGCAGTAGTAAAAGATATATGATATAGAATGCTATTGCATCATGTGCTAGACTACTAGTTGATGATCTGCAACTTATTTGCATATATGAATAGGACAAGTGGAAATCAATTACAAAGCACTTTTTGTTTACAGGCAATCCAAATAGTTCCATATTCTAATGATATTTCAGTTCTCCATCACATTAGATAATTAGCTTATATTCAACCCCTTTAGTTGCAATCTGCTCTCTTCCCATTTCTAGATGGACCTCGAAAGTCCATGTGTGGTGGAGTAATTATTTGAACAGATGCCTCATGAAACTTCATTAAATGTGGTAACTCCTTTGCCAACTCTGGAAGCATTATTTGTGGGATGAGGACCAGGCTTTCCACTGGTCCAATCAAACTCTAAGTCTAAGCCGTAATTGCTGATAACCCCAACTAGAAATTTCGTTTACGTTCAAGTCATAAAACACCTCAGCTGTGCTTAGCATTGTAAAAGATCCAACACATGATAAACATGCAATGTTTAACCTAGGACATACCATGAGACAGTTCTTGCATGTTAAAATGGAAATTGAATTTTAAGTAGTAGCTGTTCTTTCCATAATCTTTCCTCAGTAATGCCCTCTTTCTCAAACTAAAAAGTTTTCACCTACTATACAACAATTCTCATTAGGACTATTATCTTTTCTTGTATCCTCGAAGACACTTAACACAATCCATAAGCATATATCTCAAGTCTTAACTTGGCAAATTACGCCGACTCAAACATTTTAATATTGGACAAACAGACTAATTAATCAAAACAATAAATTTAGATTTATTTGCTAATTAAATGCATTAAGTGTAGTTGGAGACTACAAACTATACTTGCCAAAAAAATCAAACTACCGACCATAAGCTGTTTGAAAGTTTTGATGAATTTATGAAATTAGTGTTCTAATTTCAACATACAATACACAATGCTACCATTAGAATAGAACAGAAAGTAGAACATATCACAACCTTAATTCACAGTGAAGCTTAAAAATAGAATCAGAAAACTCACCGAATCATGTGTCAAGTAAGTGTCACAATAGTCACAGTAATACCTGAAAAATCACAGAAATGATCAATGATAGAACTGAAATCGACAAAATGAAATATAAAACCGAAAAAAAAATTAGCTGAAAAATTATTGTGCTTACCGAGGCATTGATTTAACAAAAGGAAAGAAGTTATTTTGCCAATGAAATTGGCGAATTCTGTACAAAAGTTATTCGCCGGGAAGGTCGTCGGAGAATTGTAACTGATATGAACTCAGATTAATCGACGGCAACGAAAATGGAATTCGGATTACTACTACTGGATTGAAGCCTAGAAGATCTAGTAGACCAATTTTTCGTCTTTTTAAGGTAAGCCCATTAGCCCAAATTTTAGTATGGAAAGGCGAACGGTTTAGCCCATTGAAGAAACACATTGTCGGGTCCTCACTCAACTCTTTTGGGTCATTTGTTCACTCTATTTTGAAAGGGGAACTTTCACAAATATCAACTATAATAAATTTAATTATGCTTCATAGCTATAATTTGTATATTTACGGATTGTAGTTATAGTTTAAGTTGTCTTGTTTGTATAATTCACGGGTGAGTTTGTATAATTCGTGGATACAATTGTATAATTCAGCTATAATTTTATATAAACTCGAAATAATAAATTTATACAAACACAAACAACTGAACTTTAAGCAGTTATACAAATTATATTACACAAAATTACATTATACAAAAGTTATACAAATTATATTATACAATTTCGAATTATACAAACGTGCGAATTATACAAAACTAAAAAACTGAGCAGCATAATTATAGCTAAAAGTAGATCGCAAATTGTATTAAGGCAAACTGTAGTCATATTAACTAATAAACTAGTATATGTTTACTTATCCGCATATTTTTTCCATTTTGAAAATAGACAAGAAAATCTTGATCAGGTGATAAAAGACCGTCCACCTTTAATGTTAATATGTGTTCTGGTCTCAAAGAAGTAAAAATATGGGAGCTTTTTAGGGAGGAGTAAAAGAAAAATAGGAAAAAATTAAGATTTTGCACGAATTACATCTATTCTAGGGGTGTGTGGGGGTCAAAATATCTTTAGCTATGATCTAATTTCACAAAGGATAAGTTCAATAGGAGTAAATTATGTTTTTAAGACATAACTTTGAGGATTTTGAAACTGAATTTATGCTTCTATATGAATATATGTTCAATAGGAAATAAGTTATGAACTTCTTAAGGAATAACGTTCCTAAGGAAAAAGTTAATATAAGGTGTAACTTATGAGTTATGAAATTCTTAAAGCATAACGTTCTAAAACTGAATTTATGTCTCTGTGAGCATAACTGAACTTATGCCTCTAACGACATAAATTATGTATGAATTAAGCGACATAACTTGTTATGCCTTATAAGAGGTATACACATTTTGTTATATTATAATACAAAAACACAAACTTTAAATATGGTTATTCGTACGAATGACTTCCCAAAAAAATAAGATGCAAGAGTTTTCATAATTTCATTCTTTTATCATAATAATTTCTAACAAAAAGTGACTTTTTTTCTGTTACAAATTTAATATTGATAAATCTAGAAATTTATGTAGAGCATTTGAACTTTCTTGAATTACTTCTTTTTCAGAATCAAAAAAATTGTGCAATACACACTTATCTATTCACAAATAAAATAAATATGATATTAAATAATAATTATAAAATTACCTCAGACATCATCTAAGTAATTTTATTTTTGTTCACATAATATTAATTTCTAGAAGTAAGTAACCACACCTAAACCCAAGTGAATTCCTTTGTATATGTGTTGATAATGTAATGCTTTCGCAAGTCACAACCATATTATAATTAGTGAAATTTAATTTAAGAATGACATGCATGTCTGTGAAAAGTGGATAAACAGTGACAATTTAACCTTCAATTACAAACCAAACCATGTGATATGTTTTTTATAGCCAACAACTACAATTTCACAAAAAGCAAGTGGATGAATGCAAATGAGTCCCCACTTAAAAGATATAAGGTCAAGCACTTAACCAAAAAAAATCCCCCACCATCTATGGAGTAATCATTATACTAATTAGCTTAAGCAAAGGTTAATTAATTTAATTAATTAACTAGCCATCTATCTATCTTTATATTATAAATAAAAGATCACATAATTCCATTTGCCATTTAGATAATAATGGAATGTTGTGGAAGTACAAGTGAAGATCAGAAGTGTTGTAATTTTTTTCTATTGGAAGATAGTGGTGACTCTCATCAATTTGATGATTCCAAGAATATTCACCAAGAAAATTGTGAATATTATGAAGTTGAGGATGATGCAGAATCAAGCAATTATGAAACCAAGGATGATCTTGGAAATTCACAAGAAGTGATTAGTGGCTTTGAAGAAGTTAATTATGATGAAGAAGATGATGGACACAAATGTAGCATAAAAAAAGAGGTTTGTAAAGATATTGTGGAAGAGAAAGAAGAAGAAGAAGAAGAAGAAGAAGATGTATCAAGTAGTAGGGCTATAAATATGGAAGACGATGAAGTGGAAAGAAATAGGCTATTCTGGCAAACTTGCTTTGAAGTAGGTTATCCATGAGCTACTACATTTGTTTTTCATCATCCGATTCAGTATCAGTATTGGAACCCGACTAATCTGAATTCGTGTCATGTAAGGACATATGGGAGAAAGCTCCCTATCAAGTTTTTTTTTTTTGCATACCAAGAGTTTAAATCCGAGATTTTTAATTAAGAAAAGAGCAGCACATTCGTCGCATCACATTTTATTGCATGTTTTTATATTTATCAGTACTATATTATTTCTTCTTTAAACATATTTTATCTGCTTGTGGTTGAAAATTTGTGTTTATATTTTGTCCTAATTTTTGGATATTTCGTTGCTTTTGTTCAGTCCATATATAGAAATGATATGACATTTATAAAGAGATTAAAATTATACCATTCATTCGTATCTTATTTTAAAGAGATATCCTTGATCACTCTCTCTGAGCTCTTATTGTTTATTATTAAAATTAAATTAATGAACAATTTATAACTAGCTATTTAGTACTTTAGTCTTTAGTTAGTATCGCCACTAAAATTTGGCACTAGGTCACCCGACATTATATATATAATTTTTAAAATTTATTTTATACATAAAAATACTTACTTTGATATAATTTCTAAATATTACTTATACTTTTTCATAATTTTTATCTTTTAACGTATATTTTCAAGTTTTTTGAGACTTGAAATTTTGAATGGTCCAATAATAGTTATAGTCCATAGATATTAGTAACTCTAATAAAACTCAATTCATAGTCAAATCAATACTAATGCTAACAAAAAAAGTTAATTCAACACTAAGAATGACAATAATATTGAATATTTGTTCTTTAGTTTTACATTAGTTTAGACATTTTAAAATACATAACCTAATTTTAATTTTTTAAAATATTTAATCATGTAATTAATACTTATTAGACTTATTTTAACATGATTTAGTACTTTTAGATTATGATCATTTTCATTATGACTTATTAATTTGCAATATTTATTTTTTATGATTTCATTATTATTATTTTTTGTTGAATATTTTAGTGTCATGACTTATCTCATATTTTGTCTTATTTTCTTAAGAAACACATTAGATAGTTGTATTTTGGTCGGTTAAAGAAATATTTGGAGCACAAGTTAATTATATGTTTGTATGAATATTTTGCCGAAAAAATCCGAAAATTTGAAAAAAATATGAGGTTTATTAGTTTGGTTTGATTTATAAATTAAAAAATTCGACACAAATGGTTTGGTTTAATATTTGAAAAACCTGAACCAATTTGAAAAAATCCGAGGTTGAAAAGCCCGAAAGAACTCGAGTTTTATTAGTTTGGTTTAATTTATAAATTAAAAAAATCGCCAAATGGTTTGATTTGATATTTAAAAAACTCGAACCAACCCGATCATGTACACCCCTAACAGTGTCTATGCGTCCGAAAACATAAAATATTGATTATCTAAACAATACTAAAAACATTTCTTTTTTTCGGAAATGATGTTCTGAATTTTGGGCTAAAGACTTGTAATATAAATTTTGAGCTATTTTGCAATATAATGTAAGATTATTAGAGTATATATTATTTGTAAATTTCATAATTTTTCAAATTTTGGGGCATAACTTCTCCATAAATTATGGGGGTGTTATTAGTCCATGTGATAACAGAATCTTTATTAACAACAAAAGTCGTAATGGCAGGTAACAAATTTGATTATGCTTTTGAAGTCACATTAATTAAGGAGTATACTACTCATAAAAATAATTAGTTGACTTTGACGTTTATGTCATAAAATCCATAGTTTAATTATTTCTCTTTAATCAATGATTGCCAATCTGCATGCACTAATCGGCAAGTTAACGTGTTGAAAATATTCCATGAATCCAATGTGGGAAAAAAAAATCTTAAGCTTGTATGCTTGAGTCTCCTCGACCAAGTATGTCAAATTATTTGTTAACGGTTCGAGATTAATTGATGCTTTAGGCGTTTTTACGCTCATTAAACAAATAATAAATACAAGATATAGTTTATTAAGTTACTCTTATTTAGTAACTAGATATGGGACCCCGTGCCAGCACGGGGCCCAATATATGTTACTGTTTCTGTTTTAATTTATGTGGTACATATGAAATTTGAAGTTAATCAATTTTTTAGTATGTTTTTATATATTTTAAGTTGCTAATTATTTGTATTTAAAGTATGTTTTACGTAAATATATTAGAAATCACAATAATTAACAAGTTAATATAAAAAAAAACTTTAAAAAAATTCATTGACTTTTGAAAATTCATTTGTATCACATAAATCAGGACCAAGTAATATATATGAGAAATACATAAAACGTACTATAACTCACAATAATTAGCAACTTAAAATATCTATATATCTATATTTCTCCCAATTTATGCGGTATAGATGAAATTTTGAAAGTTAACAAAAACTTTTTATATGTTTTGAAATATTTTAAGCTATTAATTATTATGATTTATAATACTTTTTACATAAAAAAATTATTTATATAAAGTATAAAAGAAAAAATTAAGAAAAAGGAAACATAAATGTCAACAGGAGTCCAATCTATGTTAATTTCTATGTTTTAATTATTGTAATACCGATTGAATTTGGAGAGCCAACTAAAAATTTTTAAAGGATTTTTTTTATAAATTTTAAGTTGTTAATTATTATAATTTATAATATTTTTATTAATTTTAAACCAATATATGTTTTTCTCTGTCTCAATTACATGAGACATATGGAATTC